CAATAATTGTTTGCATTCCCCGAGCACAGCTACAGCTACAATCGAAACAGTTCAGATTGTAAACAAAGCGATTTTTAAATTTTAATACATAAAGATAAAATAATACTTGAACTTGATTTTAGAAGAGCAGCCCTGTGTGAAAGAGCTGACAGGATGGAGGTTGTGAGTTCAAATTCCATTTAGGAAATTTAGTCTATTGTTTTATTTACTCCAGGGGTCCTCAACTAAATTGGTTCAAGGTTTTTTTTTTCCAGCAGACAGCAGTGAAGGTCAAAAGCTCTTCTAAAATAAAGTTCAAATATCATTGTTTCTTAATTTAGTACAATTTAAAATGGCTTTCCCCCCATCTGAACAGTTTGATTGTAGTTTTAGTTGTGTTTGGGGAATGTAAACAGATATCTGGGACATGAAACTGTAAAGGCCCCCAATTGCAAGGCGTTAGGGTAAACAGGTTAAGGAGGAGGGAACTACTCTTAGTCACTTCTTGTATATTCTTTCAATAAAAGGCTTAAATAATCCAGAGATTAAAGGAAAAAAATCTGCACATTGTCCCTTTAACGACAAAATATTTTTGTACGATGGCCAGAAAACACAAAATGTACCTGGCTTTAGGCCTGTAACTTCTGAAAATCCAACAGTGAACAGATGGGCATTTTTGTTTACATTTAGAGTGCTAATAGAAGTAGTATAATCCACTTTGCAGCACAAAAGGAAGGAAAAGGTGAGTTTTGCATATGTCCTATTTAAATTAAATTACTGAAGAAGTTTCAGGCACCACCATTTAAATCTGTAAATACTCCAGATCTACTCCGTGTGGTTTTTGGTTTTATATTTACTGTGATGCACGCTGTTTCTGCAGCATGAACCCCACGCAGGACCGTTTGAAGAAGATTTTGCGAGTTCTTCACCAGGATCTCGTCAGATGATTTGCACCCAGGAGTTACAGCATTGACACTGTGAACACAAAGCAGAAGTGAATCAGCGACCCTCTACCTTGTGCGATTTAAAGCACCCTGACCTGGAGACGATGCTGAGCTGATTAGTGATGGTTAGGATCTGTTCAATGATGACCGACAGCTCAACCGTGCACTGTTTATCCAGGCTGTGGTTGGCAATGACTCTGATGAAGTGGGTGACCGACTGACAGTTAGAGATGACATCTTTGGCTGCCATGACAAAAGCTTCTTTGTTCTGATAAAAGAAAAAAAAAAAGAGAAAACGAATGAGCATGCTTCCTGACATGGAGATGAAAGCAGCAAAGTGACCTCTTGTGGTCAATACCAGTATCGGGCCTTTCTTCTTTAAGTACTGTGTCATGTGACATATGGTATCAGCCATTTTCCTTGTGTCTTGAACTATTCGGTTGTCTGTGGGATCCCAGCTGTCGCTCTTTTGCTTTAGATACAGGGAAGTGTAGGTCAGTGAGGAGGGTTCTTTGTACACACCAGATGGAACTCCATCCTGCAGGGACAAGTCAGTCAGTCAGTCACTGAAATGAACTTTCGGTGTTTTGTCAGCAGAGGTACTTACATCTGAATCCACATGCTTGGGTTCTTGTTTTGCCTCAGCTGCCATGTCCACTTTAGTTTCTGCAGCATCTATGGTTTCTATGTCTTTCTGCAGAGAAGCCATCTCAGGAAATTCACCTTCTTTGGCTTTAGATGGCATCACAGTAGATAAATGATCAGAATCTCTAGACCCACTGCCCTGCAAACCAGCCTTAATGCTCTCTTTTGCCTCCTGGTGAATCCCATCTTGCTTCATGATCTCATCCACCACGTAGTGAGCTTTTGCTGACCAGCACTGAATCAGGACATCCAAACTGAGAGTGTCACAAACGTAGCGAGTCTCTACAACGAGCCTTGCCCTGGAGATTATATCTGAAATCTGAAAGGTCAGGTGCTCGTTAATGGACCGTAAGTTAGAGCGAGCGCGTGGGTCACGGACGAAGTCCAAGCAGTCGTTCACTCTTCTGGATGCAGCTTTGATGTTTTCAACAAGTGTTTCAGCCACGTTTTCAAATTTCTGCGCTGCATCTTCTGCATCGGGGTCTCGGAAATGTTCAGCTGCAAAATAAGCAACACCGACGACGTTTTCAAACGCAGCATCATACTCCTTGTTTTCTTTGGATAACTGACCAGACAGCGCTCTAATCTTGATCAACAACTGTCGCTGAAGGAACTCGGATTTTGCAAGTTGCATCACTTTTGGCATTGCATCGACTTCTTCAACAGCTTTAATATACGCATCAGTCAGTGTTCGTAGCTCATCCTGTTCATTGGCCAGTTGGGTGGACTTGTAGGCACTTTTACAGATTAGGCTGGTGAGCCTTGCAGCCTCTTGGATTCTAAGAGAGTTCTCAGACAATGCCGATATCTGTTTCTGGAGATTCAACCGGTGTGCTGCTGTTGATGTACCCAAAATCTTATCCAGAGACTTTAATAAAACCTGAATGGAGAGACCCCAGAGAACACAAAGGCCTTCCATTCGATCCTTTGGTCGTTCCAGTGAGGTGGCAAACTCTATGAGATGCCTCGTATTGTTCTGGGCTTTGTTCAGCTTGCTGTGCAAGACTCTGAAGGTTTCGTGACCATCACCTTGCAAATCTAAAGGAGACGACATTAAGACCTGGACCACATGAGCACATAAAGTCATCACTTCATTCAGATTTTGTGAAACACTGGCTTGTTGACTTCTTTGCAGTTCAGCGAAAACAGCGTGATACCAGTTTCCAGCTGCTGGCTGTAAAACCCTTTGAATGTGGCCGACAAGGTCAGAAAACTGTGCGCAGTGCTTGTAGATGCTTTCAGTGCCCCTTGCTGAGCCCATGGCTGTTTCTTGTGCTGTCCGGACGAGCAGCGGGGTCAGCGACACCAGCTCTGCTCTGAAACTTTCCAGTGTCTGGCAATCCACAGCATCAACAATGGCTGAGCCTTCTTTGGAAGCTTGGGCGTAACAGTTTGACAGTTCAAGAACTCCGGTACAGGCCCGGTTGAGCGCAGACACATCTTTCCCTTTAGTCACAGTCACAACTTCATATAAGAGGGGTAAAAGGTCAAAAGCAACAGGCAGGTGGATCGCTTCAGGCTCATCTGGGACAGCTGGAGTCTTTAAATCATTGCTGTCATGTTTATGAGTGCATTCTGCATCTGTGGTTTCTATATCTGAGCACGTTTCCTCATTTATTGTCTGCATGTTCATCTTCATTACTTCAAAAGCTGGAAACTTTGACTCGTTTGTCACACGATCCAGACTTCTCCCAATGTTCTCTTTGAGTGCAGAGGGTGGCAGTGAGATTCCAGGTGTTCTTACCCCCTCTCGCAGCGGGCTCAGGAGATGTGGGTGCTGGTGGCCATCCAGTCCCTCTCTGAGGACTTTAAAGTGATGAATAACGGTGGAGACGTTGTCAGTAAAGGTAGAATACATCCCGACGTTTAGGGTGGTGCCATGAAGCATGTCTCGGACCGAGTCAGCCACCTTGCTTTTGGACGACTGGGCCTGTTTCAGCAGAACCAGCAGGCCGTTCCTGTAGATTGGGTTATCGCTGCTTTCCAGGTGCCTCCTCACTGCGTGAATCACCAGCGTCATGTGGCAAATTAAGTTTTTAGCATTTTCATCAAACAGCTCATAGCTCTGCTCTCTGTATGCTTCATCGCACCCACAACGGTCGCTGAGCATCTCATCAGTAGCAAGTTTGGTGAACTCCTTTACATCCATGACATCGCTGAGAGCCTCCTGCAGCTGATGAGTCTCCTCTTCCCATTTCTGACACAAATCATGAAGCTTCTGAACGGTTTGCATCGAATTATCTTCTAGTTCCAGGGACAGGGGCGTGATTTGAGTCTTTAGTCTTCTAAGGCACACCTGTGAGTTCTGCACATTCTCCAAACTCTTTGCATCTACGGCAACCGCTGAAATAAAGCTTGCCACTTGGATGATTCTATCGGTGGATGAAATGAAATCTTCAACTACCGGCTGGATGAAGGTCAGATCCGCGACTGCAGCCGAATCTGCAGCTAGAACCCCTTTGGTCATGCTTGAAAGCTCATTGACCGTAGAAGAAGCTGTGAGAAATGTGTCCAGCACTTGATAAAGAAGTGCCGTTAGCAACTCGTCGTCAAGCATTTGGACTTGTCGCGCCAGTAGAGTGCAAGTTTCCTCAAAGTTTTCAGGTTTCTCAAAGAATTTTAAGATTGATTTTAGGTCGGACCAGAGCTGCAGGATGTGACGGCAGTGGCTCACAATTCTCTGTTGAGACTGTCTTCTTGAAGAGTTTGCAACTGCCATGCAGTGGAACACGATGTCCCTTATCATGCTGTCAAAGCTGCTGTCCTGAATCGATGAGATGGAGTAACAGCCAAGGAGCTGCAGGAGATTGTTGTGCTTCTCAGTGTAATACCCATAAGGTCCCAGTGGTCCACTGCTGCTCTCACACCTGAGGGTTGCAACAGCGTCTCTTATGGTGCTTTGCACCTTGTCTAGGATGTACCGCTTGGCCGCTTGAGCTTGCTCACATGTAGGATGTTTGATGGTCGTGCACATGGCAGTGTGCAGCATGGAGATGCACTTCCTCAGGGTTTCTAGAGAGTCCAGAAGCTGCTTTGTCTGTCTGGGATCCTGTAACGATTTTGCTCGGTCCACTGTGAGTTCATCAAAGAGAAGCAGAGCTTCAGAAAACACCTGGAAGGACATGTAAAGAGTCTCGATTTCTGAGGAGGAGCCAAGCTCAGAGAGGCACTCTGAGACCCGATCTGCTGCAGCAATGACTCTTCTTACGACAGCATTGTCATTCACCAAAAGAATCTGCGACAAACACAGACAAGAAATGCAGTACATGTATTTAGACTGGTGTTGTTTATGCTTCTGTGTTTTAGTAGAATTCAGACCCACAAAATAGACATAGTTAAGACACGGGACCCTCAGTATCTCTGATTTATACAAACATGCTCTGAAAGCTAAATCATTCAAGAAATCTTCTTAGCTGATGTTCACTTAGTTGGGGTTTTGAAACATTTATGCTTGAATTCTAGTCCCAGCAGTTGTTTTTAAATTTTATTTTGATTTCTGGACATCATCTCAAGACCTCCTGTGGTGACCCACTGTGGGGAACCAATGGTTAGACATTAGCCTAAACAACATTATGCTAATGAAAACTTGACTGTTATGAGTCCACTGACTAGCTTGTGTCTGTTCTCAGAAAATTACAATAAATTGAATTATTTGCAAAAACACTGAAGGTTTGGACCAAATTTCATGTGGTTTAAGTTTGAAATCTAAACCAGCTACCGTCTCCAGAGTTTTATTACCGTTCGTGGAAACCTCTGCTCTGGCTAACTAAAAAGCAGAAGCAGCTGTTCAAACTCCTCTAACATTCCATCACCCTAACTTTGTTTGATGACAGAATCATAGAAGGATGTTAAATGTTTTCTTTTTACATTGTCTGACACCTTTTTGCACCTAATGTATGGACAGAAAAGCAACATTTAAAGGGTACATATTGTGTATTATTTTTCTTAAGTTATCTTAGTTCTATGGTCTACTCAAAACATGTTTAAGAAGTACTTTGTATAAAATTCCTCTTCAAAAATTATTCTGGACATTTTCAGTACTTTACAGAATGAGCCATTTCAAGGCTCTGTCACTTTAAGAAAATAAGCTGTAGCTGGCCACTCCCACTCCATCCCCTGCTAAGGCTGCTGTAAGCTGGGAAACTGTGATATCTGGGAGGGGCGTGGAGTGGCGCCGCTGCTCCTCTACCAGCAGTTCTCTCATGCACGAGAGGTGGTTCTATTCTACTTTCCCTGTTTGTGACATCACAAATGGTGACTTTTTAAAATGGCTTGTTTTAGGCACATAACTCCTAAAATCAAACACAGACAGAAGATGAATGGATTTTTTCCCACATTTGGAGGGTTTATAGAGAGAGTAGAGACCCACAAGGCAGCACAAAAAGGTGCAAAAGTTCAACGTTACTTTGACAACTCCCAAGAAGACGTTCTGTGTGGCAGTGATGAGCTCTTCTCTGTGCTTGGGCAAACCGGGCTGGATGCTGAGTTTCTGTGCAGCCAGCAGAACGTGCTGTCCAGACACATTAAACGACTCAAGCAGGGACGACATCTCCATGTGCAAAACCTCATCCTCCGTCTCACTGACATTCCTGGAAGTAAAACAGTCAAGGCTGATAATAAATGCCACAGAGGTCACGTGAATTCACATGAAGTTACACACCTGGAGACCACAGCTGCCATGTTCTCAGTAGCTTTAGCCACAGCCTGAGCTGCCACCTCTAGTTGACCAAACTGTTCTGGTTCCTCTGCATGATCACACAGCAGCACCAAGTAACACAAATGACTTGCGATGGGCGCCACCACTTTCTCCACTGCTGCAGTCCTGATCAACCCATGTTCAAGAAACGAGGACATGATGGCCCTTCACTCAGATCAAAAGTGAGTGAGCAGTCCAAGATACTGCTGTGGTCAACACTATCACTGATTTAATAATTCATTCAGCTTCACAAAGCAGCTGGTGCTTGATTTCAGGGTTTCATGGCAACTACTGTCACCTGATCTGTTGACATGAAAAGCTGCCATGTACAAAATGAGTAACATTTCCTCTCAGATCTGCAGAAAAAAAGCGCCTTCAAGCAGAATATCCTGTCAATTTGTCCTCCTGCATTTAAAAGTCTGTTTTAAGTGAGCATGAAGAATATACAGTTCAGGTTTTTATGAAAAGTTTATGAGCAATATACATCTATTGAGGAAAGCTCTTAGAACGACCTCAGTGTGAAGAAACAGAGACTAGCTCTGACTTAATTGACAAGCTAACAGCTAGCCACAGCTGTAAAATTGTCACAAAGGTTCACGCATAAAGTTTCCATAACAGGTTTTTCTGCAGTTGAAATGAACAAAACTAGTTCAGAATTAACTCTCCTAGTTGAAAATTCACCATATTTTTGCCTGAATAAAGTTTAATTTTACCTTTTATGATTGCCAATTTACATAGATATAACATGTCAGTAATAAAGAAACACGGTTAAGTCATTTGCTGCCAGCTGTTTACTGATCGGTAAAGCCCTTTGCTGCCAGCATTTCTCACCATTTTTACTGTGTTTTTAAAAGTCACAGAATGTTGCACGCTAGGATGATATTGACGCCAAAACAACCAAAACAACCAAAACAAAGCGGAGACTCACCTCTTACATCAGGAAGAATCCGCACGTTTTGAGCGTTATCCGTTCTTTCATAATCCGTTGTTGAATTGTGATCAGCAGAAGCTTTTCCGGTTCGCGCTTCACTTTTTTTTTTACAACTGCGGCCCAAAACGATCTCCTAACACATGGATTTTCTGCTTCCTGGTCACGTGACGTGTGACGTATGCGGATGAATATCAGCTTTAGAGCTGAGATGTTTGTTCTCACGGTGCGGGGGCTCGTTCCGACACCCACACAGTAAAAAAAAAAATGCAAATGACGGCTTTAGTCGTCATTGGCAGTGAATGAATTAAGGGAATATTAGCTTGTTCGCATGGCATCATGTAATATCTAGCAAAAGCATTAGGTAACACTTTACAATAAGGGTTCCTTTATTAACGTTATTTAGTGGATTATTAAGCATTATTGAACAAAGGGTTCCTTTATTAATGTTAGCATTATTGTTAAATATTAAATATTGTTAATAATGGGACACTTGTTGTATAGTGTTACCAACAAGTAAATTAATAAAGTTCCAGTATACACTATACTATACTATGCTGTTCTGTACTATACTATACTAAACTGTAGCATACAATACTATACTGCACTAAATTATACTGCACTATTCTATACTAAACTAATGCATTTTACTATACTGTACTGTGCTAAACTATACTATACTGTACTAAACTATACTGTACTATACTATACTGCACTAAACTGTACTGTACTATACTGTGCTATACTATACTATACTGTACTAACTAAACTATACTGTACTATACTAAACTGTTCTGTACTATACTATACTGCACTATTCTATACTAAACTGTAATGTACTGTACTATACTGTACTGTGCTAAATACTAAACTGTACTGTACTTGACTATACTGTACTATACCACACTATACTATACTATGTTGTACTGTACTATACTACACTAAACTGTACCATACAATACTATACTGCACTAACTGTACTATTCTACACTAAACTAATGCATTGTACTATACTGTACTGTGCTAAACTATACTATACTGTACTAAACTATACTGTACTATACTATACTGTACTGTACTATACTATACTGCACTAAACTGTACTGTACTGTGCTATACTGTACTATACTGTACTAACTAAACTATACTGTACTATACTAAACTGTTCTGTACTATACTATACTGCACTATTCTATACTAAACTGTACTGTACTGTACTGTACTGTGCTAAATACTAAACTGTACTTTACTTGACTATACTGTACTATACCACACTATACTATACTATGCTGTACTGTACTGTGCTAAACTATACTATACTATAATAATATATTTATGAGTGGTTTCATTGTTTTTGACAGAATTCAATTCAAGTTTATTTATATAGCGCCAAATCACGACAAGAGTCGTCTCAAGGCACTTCACATAATAAACATTTCAATTCAGGTCAGTTCATTAAGCCAATCAGAATTTTTTTTTCCTATATAAGGAACCCAGCAAATTGCTTCAAGTCACTGACTAGTGTCAGTGACTATACAGCAATCCTCATACTAAGCAAGCATATAGCGACAGTGGAGAGGAAAACTCCCTTTTAACAGGAATAAACCTCCAGAGGATCCTGGCTCAGTATAAGCAGCCATCCTCCACGACTCACTGGGGATCGAGAAGACAGAGCAGGCACACACACACACACACACACACGCACGCACGCACGCACGCACGCACGCACGCACGCACGCACGCACACACACACACACACACACACACACACACACACACACACACACACACACACACACACACACCAAGCAATGTGGCCATGGTTACAATGTGATTGCTTAGTAAATATTCTATTTGGTGAGAGATAAACTTTATTGTATTTATCCTAGTGAATCTATTGTTAAACGGGTAAACTAGCGGTAGCACATCCGACATCAAGGAAACAAAAAGTTATTATCAGGAGAGGGAGAATGAAGATGGTCTCAAATAAACAAAACAATTTTAAGAAGTTTTGTGAATATCCAATAACTGTAAAAACTACAAAAAACATAATTAAAACTTTGAAATTGAAAATAAAGAAATAATTTAACAAAGTTGGCCGCTGTAGTAATTTGTGTACTATTTTTGGCCATTTTCTACTTTCCCTACCAGCATTTCTACCAGCAGGGGGCACCATATCCTATCAAAACACTGGCTCTGAACCAGGCAACAAACACATCAGACATGGTCAAATAAACAAACGAGCAAACACAGTTCAGATATTTCACTCTGAAATTTATCAGCAGATAAATACACAGCTCAAACATGATTTTAAACATCAAACATTCATCACACTATAATGAAAAAGATACTCACTGACAGTAGTATACTCAGAACAAAAATAACGACATAACGGTGGAAACAGACAGAAACATCACAGTTACACATTAAAAAAGTCAAGTGTTGGTTTGTTGCATATATTTAGTAAAGCGTCTTTAAAAATGGTGCAGAAGGTGGAAATGCGTTTATGAATGTGATCTATACAGAAACTCTAGGATTGCACTTTTTGCTCTGACCGGTGTTCTTCTATTTTATTACAACTTCCTCTTCACCCATCAGTCACTCATAGGGTGTATCTGCTATTTTCCAACCTATTTATTTGCTAAAATATCAAGTCCAAACATTCTTGCTGTTCTAGCCTAATTAGCTCATCACTTTGCAGAACGATGATGATGATGATGCATCTTTTTGGAGACTCCTCTTTGCCTCTGAGTGACTTGTTTCTGTGCAGTGATTGAATGCAGCAAATTAAATTCCCACGTTTTTAGCGTATTACTCACACCCCAAGGTAGACTCTCCATGCTGACTTTCATCTGCCTACAGAGATCACTCTAAAGCCGACTGTCTAATAATAAAGTGTTTGAGGGAGGTCTGGAAGGGTTTGGAAGCTTTTAGATTAAAGGTAGAGAAATTTGAATTACTGCAAAAAGTAAAATATTACATTTTTATGTATGGATGATCAATGTATAAATGGTGGACCTTTTAACGGCAGTTTGAAGGTAAAACTAGCATTTTTAACATGAATAAAGTGAAAACGTGGCAAATAAAAGATTACTAATATCAATGCATTGTGTAAAAAGACATTTTAAAGGTAATTTTCAGAACAGAAATAATATTTGCTATCTCTCAAAGGAACAGATGATCAGGTGAACTAAAAATTCAGGAAAACACCCAGAAATGATACAATCTTCCATTCCCAGAGTGGGATGATCTTTGGCGAGGCATTAACTTTTATCAAACATCAGTGCTTCAAGAAAACATCCTGCAGATGTTTTTAATGGCATTCAAAACCCTAAAGCTCAGTTTTATAATATGGCTTAAAGTGTATGTATAAAAAAATAGATTTACTATATAACACGGCCCTGAGGGGTTTGTTGTCCACCAGTACTCATGCTGTCTCCATGTCCTCCCTCTGGACATGGCTCTGCATCAACAGCTCCACTCCATTGGCTTAGAAGGTGACTGATTTCCAAACCTTCTGGAAAGCCACATAATGACCTCAGGAAAAAAATACAGAGTCTCCAAAAAATATGGAGGATAAACTTCTCTTCCACATATGAAAGACATGAAGGACCTGGTGCCACCAGGGCGGCTGGGCTGCGACACCCCTGTGCTATTGGATCCGTCTTGACCCAATCCTTAATCTCACTGGGACCACCCCCACCCTCCCTAAGTCTAAATGTCTCAGTGGTCCTTGTCCATCCAGTCCCAGCTTTCATCACTGTCTTTTCTGTTCTTTTCAGCCTCGATGATCTCTCTGTAGCGACGACGGAAGAATCCCATCTGTTCCAGAGAACGAGACAAATCGAGAGTTTAGAGACGCTTTAAAGTAACAGTTTTGTGTTTTAGCTCTTCACAAACACTCCACTGAATGATTTATTCACTTCATTACAATCACAGGACATATTTTGATTCAACTTTCAGAAACCAACCATTAGATGTAAAACTTTGATTGAATAAAGCTCTCATTCACTCATTTTTCCAATACATTTGCTGTGGTGTTGTGTGAATTACTGCCTTGCGAGTCGTTTTCTTTGGAAAAAAGATTTATCTCGCACTCCAATTTCAGAGAGTGGAAGTTTGTCTGAGGAGTGGAGGACAGAAAACAACCGGATTATGGGTCTTCTGATTGGCTAACAGCAATGTGACTCTTCTGCCGCCTTCCTTTGCTCTTCTTTCTTGGGTGAAAAAATGCAACCTTGATGTGTTTTTTCGATAAATAACACAAGCTTGAATGTATTCCGCCATGTGGTGGAGTCGCTAATGCTAATGGTTAGCTTCTGGCAATCAAGATGAGGTATGCTCTTTCCTGGTCATAAAATTAACAGACTTCTGCGGTCCCAAGCCAAGATAGGTGTGTCCATGGACACTATTGTTTCCTGTGATGTGGAAGAGACAGGCTTTTTCTGAACCGATCGTTTTCCCGTTAATTTCCATTCTGTGGCTAATACAGGCAATCGGGGTAGAGAAAAATGTTCACGTTTAGCATTCATATGCAACTTGGAGTGAAAGGACAATTATTACGCGGTTCATCAGTGAACGAGACCTTTAAGTTCTGGGGTCAATCAAGATGGCTGCCACAGTGGAGAGAAACTTGCTATAATTTGATGAAGACCCTGTCCCAATAAATGCACTTCCTCGCTTGTGCTCCTGAATTGCGCGTTCCCATCCAGGGGTGCAAAGGATTAGAAGTGGATCTTGGCCCCGCCCCTTTTGCACCCTCAAGCCGCACTTCACTGAAATCTGTGTAGGTGCGGTCTTTGGCGAAGGATAACCAAACCCACAAAACCATTGATGCATGTAAACTCAAAGAAGGCAGAGAAATGGGCCCTTTCCCAAAAAATGTATTTTCAAGTGTATATCGAAATATTGAAAATGTAATTCATTTGTAAATACCGTATATGATGATTCTCTGTTGGAAAGATTCATTACATACTGATAACTAATAACAATGTAATCACTTGTTTTAGTATCATTTGAAGCAGCAAATTTAAACAAAAAGCAAACGGCATCCCCGTTTGATAGTCCGAGACACGAGTCAGTAATCATGCATTGCTCACTGTCCCAATTCTGCAATTATTTGCACACTTGTTCACTACACACTCGAAGCCTTACACACACTTCTACCAAGTGCACTTCGTAGAGGACTGTAGGCTGCAGAGAGGGTATTGAGACAGGGCCCAAGTAGATAAAGGCCATTCACAACACATATTCTTAAACACACTAGGGTATAAATAGCTATTTGGATTATAAAAACATTACTTTCATGGATTTATTTTCCTATTCTTTCTCTTTTCTCTATTTTAAACGCCAATATTAGTACAAGCTCACCCTCAGGCATCCTGTACCAAATTTCTTTCATTATGTTATGTATGACCCACAAGACAACAGCATTATTCAAAGATGTTCTTGGAACAATCCCCTGATTGTGTTTTTGATTTTACACTTGAAATGTTATTAGCTGATTCTGAGCAGCCGATTGCCTTCAAACACACATCCAGTGAGGGCTTATCTAAAAGAGCTTCTTGTTTCAGCCAAAATATTATAAAAATAAAATAATTTTGGATTGCATAAGAAGAAAGAGCCCGAGTTACACGTGATGGATTTTATCTTTAAGTGAAATCATGGAAAGTTGAGATTTCTCCTGCAGAGAAACATATGGAAACCAGCAAGAACTCTGTTTAAATATTGTGCTGTGTCATTTTATCCACAAGATCCCATAATTTTAAGTTTACATACAAAACCATGCACAACCACAAGGTGCAAATCAAGTATTTCCCTTGTAGAACGGAGTTGTTTCTTTGGGAATGTTATACTTTGTAGTTGTTTGCATTACAGGGAGCTACAATATGTTTTTGACAAGAGTGACATGAGAGGTGTGAAAGTCTGAAAACAGCAGTATGTGTTCTGCAGCTTCTTTCACTACGACTCCATTCATTTATCTGCTTTTGGCTGTTGAAGTTTATTGATACAGACCGGTGCTCTCCTAAGGCATTTCCTGATTAGAGCAAAGCAGGACATGCGCCGATCTTGTAAATGGGGTTTATTTTGGCAGGATCTGGGGTCTCGGAGAATGGAGGAGGGGGTGATGTATCCTTGGACGAACATTCTTTGGTTTAGTTGTATTCCCGGTGGACGATGAAACAGGGTAAAAGAAAAGGAGTTTTGTGCTGACAGGGGCCCCTGGATATCAGTGTGATGGCCATTTCCCCATTAAAATTCTTTCAAGTGAACGGTATGGTGTGAATTACTGTCCTGCCTGTGATTTGTCCATTTCATGCTTGTCAGAGGCCTTAAGCGAGCTCTCTCGGCCCCACGTCTTTCCCCGACCCCCAGCTGTCCCTGTTCAACTGGATGCTGTGCTGACATGGAACCAGAGGTAAGTGTCGCACGTGTTTGTGACTTATATCTGCTGCACGTTATGAGCTGGGGGAAACAACAACACTCTCTGTTCTTTTGCATGTTTTTACCTTCCAGAGTAGCACAGCTAACAGCAAAAAGATGAGGATTCCCACCAGGAGACTGATGGCGATGATCCAGCCGACTACATAACCCCTCGGCTCCTGATCATGGAGAGCCTCGAAAAACAGCTGAAACATAGCAAGCCAGGGTGAGTCACACTCTAATACAACACAGGGACACAGATTGAATCATGTGCTGATGATGATGCAATGCAGCAGACTGACTAGTCACATGCTGGTTCAGTCTTAGCTTTGCTACAAAATCTAAAATCAGAGCAAAAAACTAAAGTCAAAGCTTGAGCTCACACCCAGAAAGGCACAAAGTTGAGCATTTGTACACTCACTCACTCACTCACTCACTCACTCACTCACTCACTCACTCACTCACTCACTCACTCACTCACTCACTCACTCACTCACTCACAAATATGGTCAACAACAATATGTTCAGGTGTACTTTTTTCAAACCAGGAAAATATATAATTTGTTAACATAAAGGAGGCGGGGTTAAAAAGCTGTCCTGGAACCAGCCACCAGGGGGAGCTTGCTTTGTTTGAGCTTTATTTAAATAAGCTGTTTTCATCCATGCAGATGTTTACAGCATTAGCATAATTAATCAACAGATTTCCTGTTAACACATTAGCTAAAGAATTAATCTTTTACTGATGTGTTTATTATCATGCAAATGTTTGTAAATGTAAAATTTCAACTGCAAATGCATTTCCACATTGCTGTCATCTCTGCAGGTGTGAAATAAAAGTATCAATAACAAAATAAAATGATATATTACTGCCAGTAATTTTTTTGTTTGAGCGAGATTCTGATATTTTAAACGAAAACTCTTAAACACAGAGTTGATCTCACAGGGATTTTACTGCCAACCTTTATATATCTCCCACGATTGGAGCTTTTAAGAACAATATTTCATCCACTACCTTTTTTGATTTGGTGCTTCAACCTTTTTAAGGGGTTATTTTAGGTCAAAATGATGCAAATGATGAAGATTATCTTCATTTTTGGAGTTCTGGCAACCCCCACTGACGACTGTGTAATAAAAAAGCAGCTTTTTGGATGACACAGAGAACGCTGACCAGCTGGAAGGTTTATCACTCAGAACAGACTCGGTTCATCTAACAGAGGATTTATGTGAGACTGGCTGAAATGCAAAATGTTAAATGAGTAAACAAAATAGCTTTTTTTGACATTAGCACTTTACATTTTAAGGCTGTTCTGGAGCAAAGTTATTTAAAATGAACAGATTTGACTTGAAGAATTGCATCAATCTCCAAAGCAGCTAAGCCTGTTTCTATGCAACATTTAGGCCCTCAGTGGAAAACTAGGGCCATAAAATGAATGGATTTATTTACTAAAAATCTTAAACAAGACCAGACCCTCTATTGTCTCAAACGTCTTCTAAGGCATTGTGATGCATTTTTACCCAAGAGATTCAAGACAGTTTAGGGAATGTCAGAGTACCACACCCCCGATCTGCACAGGCTCGAACTTTAATGTGGCATGAGACGCCAACTGTTAGCCAAGACGAAGCCAGGTGAAAAAAAGAGAATGAACCTCTCTGTTGAATAGTTTCCCACATTAACCCTTCGCTCTAACTCTCGCCTCTGGGAAATAACGGTTGTCATGTGCGCCACGTTTGTGTGTACAGAGAAGATGAAAGCTCCTCTGGTCATCGCTCTCTCACTCTGCAAAGTCCACTGAACTCAACTTCTGTTTGTAACCTGCGCGACATTTGGACTTTTTCTTTCCTTCACGTGTCACGGATGATAAAAACCAAGCCTGTCATTCTGCCAACAACCAGCTGAGCAGCACAGCCATAAACAACAAGTCATATTTGTGCTCTAGCTCGCCGTGATCCCAAGGGAGAGGGTTAGAGTGCTTAGGAAAGCCTACAGGGGCAACTATCGTAGGAATGAGCACGCCCGGTTAGTGCTGAAAGAGCGGCTCGGCATGCACAAATTCATAGCAGGTCAGAATTTTCCGAGCACCACTGGAGCTGAGGGTCAGCCGGGGTGCAACCCAGTCAGCACCCTAATCTCTCAAGAGAGCCCCTTCTGAGCACGCAGGGCGCTCAGTGTGATTGTCAAATTTGATTTGTTGGGCTATTTAATCACTCAGCAGCAGCATGGGGGAGGGTCTGTCCTTGTGCACAGCTGAGAACCCAAAAACAGTCAATCGAAGTGAAGCTGAGGTCCTCAGCTGCTCCCTAAACCCATATTCTTTATGACTAATCTACTAGAGCACTTTAACCCTAATCACAGCATGATTGACTGTGTACATAAAGACAATATTATACATTTACTTATTGATTGGTTTTCTTCTCCAACAAAGCAATATGAGGATTTAGTTGCTCTTTTATCTAAATGGATTGGTCAATAGTGCTTTTAAGCGAAGCATAGCCCTCGATGCTAAAGGAATTCAGCTCCTAAAATGTATAACAACACATTTTCTGTTTTTGTATTCTTACCTAAACCTCCGACACCTGTAGACTGCTTAGATGCCTTTCCACTATGAACTAGGAGTTCTAAGACATTTCTGGGAGGGGGGAAGGTGACCAGGATAATACGCTGACTCAGTCATCTCCGCATTTGTGTCTCCATACTAAATCGGCCCTTTCAGGACTTTGCTAAGATGTCAGCATATCTCGACCCCATCGGCAGTCAGTGACATCACTGATCAGCACCAAAAGGCGTCCACAAACATTAATCCATCATGGGACGGCGAAAGCAGCTGTGTGACATAAAAGTGGTGTTCAGTGACCACAAGAGTCCATATTGCCTTTTTTTTTTTTTTGCATTCCATTCTGCTTCCCCAGCAGATTTTCCAGCTTTACAAATGCCGGTTGTTTGGCGAAATCTGTTGATGCCGCATCGTATTTCCTACTAAGTTATAATCAATCAGCATTAGTTGACTACAAGTCCCTCCCAATGACTGCACTGGGCCCCAGTACAGGTACTCTGTTGGTTCCCCGAAATGGCCCGGGAAGTGGTCCTTTCAGCCGGCTTGGTGAAATGGAGACACGTGCGTATTGTGAGGGTCTGGTAAAATTACCCGGAAGTTCCGATCGGGGAAATGTCCCCTTCATTTAGCAATTTTCCTTTTCTGTTCTTCATTCTTTACTTTAACATTCATCCGTTTCTTTGTCATCAGAAAAAATATGAATTAGTAAATATCTGCAGGTGTCACTGGCACTAGATGCAGGTTCAGTGAATACCAGCAGCATGGTGGAGGGATGGCCAGCGAAGGTACCACAGAACCAGGTCAAATTGAGGTGTCTCTTTCTTTGAAGTGATAGGATGGAGGCCTGCTGCTGGTAAATTACACATTTACCACTTGGAACGTTTTGAGCAGAGCAAAAGCCAAACAACATTTCTGATTCAGGAAAACAACTTTTCATTAAGTTTGGTTCACGCTTGACCAAAAACGCTATAAAAGCAATTAACTGTAAACTTTCTCGCTAACAAATTGCTACACACATTGAGATGATTGGTGAAGATCCGCTCATATTGCTTGATGCGTCCTTTTTATAGTGTATCCCGCAATTTGCTTTTAATTATTTTGTTGACTATTTTTTATTTTATCACTATAATCAGGTAAGACAATGTGACCCAGTGTATCAAACTGCTGCCTAGCTATTCATCAGACAGAGAGTAACACAAATTTAGTGTTTTCACTGAATTTGTCTCCGCCAACCACTGACCAAGATACGTGGTTCAGTTTCAGTTGAAGCCAGATTATGCGGCTTTAAAAAATGAATAAGTTTCTTGAGCCATTATGTGATAAAATTACCCTTTACAGGGTTATTGAAATGTCACTCAGACCCCCACTGCCCTCTGTGGCCAGAATGTCGCACTTGCAACTTAAGAGTATCTGGTCCGGTCCCTGTGGAGCTTGCATGCCAGTGCTGGAGCCTGCTTCCAGCCCGTTTCCTGCATGTGTCAGAGCATGAACACAGCTGATTTGTTTGATCTCGTGATGAACCGCTCCTGTGGAAACTAATTAGCCATTAGACTAAGGTGTTAAAATAACAAACACACAGTGAGGAGATAAGTTTCACTTTTGCCTTGACTAACGAACACTAGGGGGTGCTAAAAACTAGCCAAAAACGGCAAAGTATCCCTTTAATATACTCACTGAAATGTCTTCTGGCAGGCCGTTGGGCACCTCCACTGTCCGATCGGTCACTCGCATGTAGCCTCTTGTCACAAACTGGACCACGGAGGAACTATCCTGTGGGTGAAGGAACAACAAATGGTTTGCTTTTCCAATTCAAACCTAACACAACACTGTATTTAATGAGTTCAACAAATATCTTACTATTTTCAAAATTTCAGTGTTCAGTAGGAGTTTTATGTCTATGCTCAGAGGCTCCTCTTTCAACTGTGGACCCAGACTGCAGGAGATTGTCAGACATGCCCTTCCAGGCCGATCACAGTCCTGTAGGAGAACCAGAGGCTGGTTCAGATGTGTGCTGAACAGATGTTGAGTTGATCAAATGTAAGAAAACAAACAAGAATCCACACAGGAGGCGACGCAGTCATCTTTGATATGTCAAAGAGCAATGAAGATCGCTTACCAAGACTTTGCGTCCTGATTTGGTGAAGAAAGCAAAGATGGAGTGGAAGATGCTCTCGTTGTTTCGGGAGACGGTGCACGGTGTCGGGTTCCTGTGAGGGGTGCAGTTCCCTCGACCGTCAGACACCTAAAGAAGGACATCGTCATCGAAGAACCACATTTTTCTGGTTAAGATCTTACAACAACAGGGTTTTGTAGATAAATTAAGGGCAGTAGAAAACAGTTACGTACAAACTGATTAAAATATGTCTAAAGCTAGATACATATTATGAAAACTTTAAAAGGGAAAAGTAACCCACTCGAGAATACATGAAAAATTGCAAAAGTCATTGAAAATCCAAATTTCCATTGAAAATATGCCAACAGTTTTAAGTTAATTTTGGCAAATGGCCTGTATTTAATATAATGTCTTCTTAGGGTTGTACAACCCCCCAAGGCGCTTCACAACACAATCAGTCATTCACACCCTAGTGGAGATGAGCTGCAATGTAACCACAGCTGCCCTTGGGGCGTGTTGACAGAGGCGAGGCTACCGAGCACTGGCGCCACCGGCCCCTCTGACAACCACCAGTGGGCGAGTTGGGTTAGGTGTCCAACTGCAACAGACGGGACTCGAACCTGCAACCCTCCAGTTACGGGCCAGGCACTTCACACCCTCTGCCACCCACCATCAGCCTTTTTAAATGTAAATGAAGATGAGGAGACTAAATTCTTCATTTTCATTTAACATCTGAATCTGTGAAATGATTGGTTTCCCCAAAACTTACAGAATTTTGTCTCTTCTAAAAATCTAAGACCGCTTAAAACACACAACTTTAAGTAATCGTGCACTAAAGAAGTGAAAAAAATAATTATTCTTACAGGTGTAACAGGAACATTGACGTGTTTACTGGCTCAGGTTTGCATTGCACCCAAAATCACCCACGCTGTACTTCTGTCTCCATAAATGGCCCAAATCTGTTACTGTTATGGCCCTCCAGGGCACACAGGAAGTGCCCCCCAATTGGAACATGCAGGTACCCCTCCCAGACAGCTTTCCCATATGGAGTGATTTAGAGGTGTCTGTTTTACTGCCCAGACCCCGGGGAACCCTTCCCCTTTCCCCTCTCCTCCGAATGACCTGAAGCTCGGTAGAACGTTCCTCTGGCTTATCCCGTCGTCTGCTCTGCTACCTCCCAGCATGCTTGGCTTTTACTGCCATTGCTGGTGTAAACGCAGTGATGCCTCCAGTAACTTTAACTAGACAAATCCTCTGCAAGAACATTTTCACAGTGAATAATGGAAATGAAGGGATTTTATGTGCAGCACGAACATGCAACGTATACATTATCTGACCAAATACAGAGAATGCAACCGAATCCGTGCATAAAATATAAGCGTGCGACAGGCTGGATGATGGTTTATGATACATGCTTCCAGACTCAAGGTGGTTTGAGACAGTGGCCAGCTCCGCAGGTGTCCCATTCCTTATTTGTGCATGCTGGCTGATACCATGAAAGTGGCTCCAGATGGAGGTGGGATACACCAACTCTGTCCCCCCATCCTTCACAGTAAATACAGTTAACAGCTTGAGCTCCACCAGAATCCACCTTTATGAAAGGAGCAATGCAAAGGTTAGGAAAACATCGAGACTCGTCGAGAGTATCGCGTATCTTTATCTAAATGCAAAATATTGTGAAACAAAATGAGTCTACGGTTGCAGTGGCAGCACAAGCATTTGGGCTTAGATTAGCTCCAACGGAGCCCCACGCTGAGAAAAACCACCAAGAGACCCACGATTCTGGAGCTATTCATGAACTTGGGCTGCGAAGTGAATACAAGCATGAGGAAAAACATATCCAACGGACAAATAAGCTGAAAAAATGGCTTCCCGCAGGTGAATAAACTCATATATAATGACTCCTGGTGGAGTTCTACTGCTGGTACCCACCTGGGTTTCAACGACGTGGAACATGTCAGCTCCGTTTCCCGCCAGCCGGTTGGGGATCCTGATGTCCACAGTGGATCCAGGCAGCCTGCTGGGCCCCTTGTTAATAGCCTGGAACAACGTCACACAAGGAGATGGAGGTAAGAAAAGGATATAAAAGGAAAATGTTCAAAAATATAACCCTGCAGAGAAATTACCTGGAAAGTCAGGTTAAGAGGCTGGAAATTGCATTCCATGTCTTCCAAGTGGACGAATCGCGAGGCATCGATGGAGTTTCCGTACACAAAGGAGCTCGGTGTTACCACGCTGAAAAAACCAAGAGGCACAAATGTGAGGAGGGAAAAATATAAAGTGTTCATAAAAAGTCTAGTTTTCTCTTAAAAACAACAACAATAGCCTCAACAGATGTCAGATTTCTGATGAATATGAGCTGCTTTACATCCATCTCCTTCCTGTTTGAAGCCGAGCTGTGATAAAGCCTGAAGAGATACGGCTTTTCATGTTGATACCCTCCATATGGAGCAAAAACACTCCCATTCTCCCCTAGTCCAGACAGGTCGAAAGCCTTTAAGTAAAACTTTATTTATGAAGCACCTTCTGAGACATTAGTTACAATGGGCTAAACAGAGGAGCACCCCAATAAGAAACACCTCTCAGTGGAGCAACGTCCACATAAAAACTAATTTAAATTATTTTTGTGTATTTTAAAGCGAAACGCTTTGCTTTTACCCTGTGATGGTGGCATCTGTCTCGTGGATCAGAGGGATGGATAAATCCAAACTGTTATCGGAGAGATTGTGCTCCGGATTGGCACTAAAAGACACAAAAGATTCACATTTATATTTTTAGTCGTTTGAATTTTAAAAAATGCAACTAATGCAAAGACTGACTGACACCTTTTAGCTTGAACCAAAAACTGTAACGTATCATTTTCCCCGGAGAGCCGCGTCGTGTCAAAAATCGCTGCAAAATGATACTAGAAAGAAAAACAGAGAAACTGATCATAAAAAATTATTCTAAAAAAATCACCTTTTGCACTGAGATCCAATTTAAATGAAACTACCTTAGTTTGTGCTCTCATGAAAGGAAATCCCACGATGCACTTGAGGAAGTCCAAATCGACCAGCTCACAGGAAATGCCCTTCTCTTCCTGCAAAAAGACAGATAGACAGAGAGTGAGAGGAGGGGACGGAGACAGACTGAGTGGAGACAGATTGGTGACATGCATGGAGACAGATGACACAGAGAGGAAGCACCAGTAGACGGGAGGCATGGCTGTAACACAAAGCAATCAGTTCTGATAAGGACAAAAAAGGAGAGACTGTGGCTAGCTTCAGATGGAGCAAGGAACCTTCAGATGCACGTAATTCCTAAAATTAAGAGCTCAAAAAAGAAAAGCGAAAGGTTGGAGTCCCTCATGGAGGTCTAAGTCATGTTAAACAAAGAATGTACAAAGCTGCGATGGCACACACGTCTTAGCGGGTGGGTAATTGGACAACCTCCAGGCTGTGTGTTTGGAAGCTTGTCTAAACAATATGGAGCTTCACGGGCTGCGCTGTATAAACACAGAGGTCTCGACCTCGTGAGGAGTAAGAATTCTTTTAGTGAGAGTTCACTGGGAGGCTGTCAGCTGATCTCATGCACTGGGAGTCAAACCTCACAACTGTAAGGAAGAAGAGGAAAAGTTCAGAGTTAGCACTCCCGGAATAATTAATGAGGAATTCAAACACAGCATCTGCTTGCATGGGCCGACTTCCAGATTTAGACTATTTACAACTTGTTTTGAAATATGACAGAGGAAGACATTTTTAGAGGGGGGGTGTTGTCACTGCTGCCTGTGCACATGCCCATCGTCGATCAGATTTCCAGGGTGGGACAGTGCTGCCCGTCTTCATGAAGACATCAGACCAGTGAGCCAGGCAGTGAGAGGGTAGGGGGAAGGGGTGCCCAAGCATAACTGGCGATGATGGAATTTCCTCTACTTCCTGTATCCCTCTGTGCCTCTGTGCAAACACGGTTTGTCCCATGGGACTGGGCAGGATTGGAGGAAGTCAGCCTATATGCCCATCACCCACCTGGAAACCTCGGAGAGAGCAGAGCTCTGAGAGCAGTGACAAAATCCGCGTTTGCACTGTAGGAGTTCTGAGAAATTTCTGGGAGGGGGCAAGGTGACAGTGACACAATAAGGGCTCTTCAAGGACTATGTCAAGTCATCACAGGGTTGGCGGCAGGTGGGTGCTTTGGGTTGCTATAGAAATGGCAAGATTAGGGCCAAGCAATGGTTTAGTAATCTCCAATTTTAACCCCCCGGGTGATTTGCGTCAATTTGCATGTGCAATCCCCCTGGTTCGCCTTAGTCTGTTGCAGCGTTTCACCAATGACAATGGCGACCGTAGATCAAGGCAGATCAAGGAAGCATAATTTCACAGAAGCAGAGGTTGAGGTACTTGTGGGTGAGGTGGAGAAATGAAAGGAAGTGCTTTTGCAAAACAAATGAGAGAAAATCCACGGAGTGGCACAGCGTTGCTGAAGCCGTCAATGTTGTGAATTCTTCAGAGAGATCTGTGGCGGATATAAAAAAAATGGTCCAATTCGGGACTCGATCCCCAGACTTCCGAGTGAAAGTCACGTGCGCTAACCAGTCACCCAAACAGAGATCTCCCCTGTACAACTAGCCAGGGCACATCATCAGTCGGGTCACATGGACAGGGCACACACACTGTCACAGACCCATGACATTCTGTCTCAGTCTGCCCCCCGTTGATATTCTGCATTCCATAATCTGCGCTTCAGGCTGTGTGTAGATGCGCGTGTGTGTGTGTGTGAGTGCGCACGCATGTGTGTGTACGCGTGCGTGTGGGGGTCTTGTTCTGTGTGAAAACGAAGCAGTACAAGTGATAATGCTGCAGGATTTCATAATTGTATCTTCTCAGCAGCAGCACTGCAGGTGCTCTCCATGTCCAACATGTGCGTAAGCCAGGTCCTTACTTAGTCAGCTTAAAGTTGCGCACATTTTTACGCTAAGTTTTCTTTCATGAATCCCGAAGTTTGCGTGGAAAGTTGCTTACGCAGTTTTCCGACCCCATTTTGTGCGTAAGCAAGCTTGATAAATGAGGCCCCTGGACTGTTTACACTGCTTCATCGGCTGAGGCATCTTCTGAAGTGGTACATCAGTGTGGATGACAATACACAGGAGGACTGTTTTGCCTTCAAGTCTCTATTAGTCTGGATATTTAAACATTTGGCTTTAGTTCGGTCGATGTTTTCCAAGCCACTGTCATCACCTACTTAATACTTTCTTTGGTCGGTATGAAGATGAAGCTTTTCGATGGCCGAGTTATGCAAATCCGAAAGCCAACAAAATCATAGATTCATATATTCTTTGGTTTGAAGGTCCACAGAAATTTACACTTTTCTCTATTGCAATTCAAACTTCTGGGCTTTTCGCAGCAACGTTCATTTAGTTCCAAAGGTCAAATCACCAGAAATCTGGATTTAAGTAGTTTTACAGTCCTGTTTACAAAAACATCTGTAAGGAGGAAATTACTTCTCCATAGCACCATAAGGTAAAAGCCATGAGAATAAACACAATTTTAGATTTTTATTGTGTTATTTTGCATAATGTCGCAAGTCAAGTCATGGATATGAAATCTTAATTTATCATTGTGTGCAATCTCAAAAGTAAGGACCGTGCTTTTTAAACCATCAGTGATTTAAACGTTTCTTCCCTTTTTTTAAATTCTCATTTTAAGACCAGAACATCCAGGTTTCAGACAAGCACCTATCCTTAAGTCTTTCACTTCCTGAAAACCTCTGATTCCACCGCACAGCAGATTTAAACACTGGTGTGAGCAGCCGCTGCGTTAATGTTTTCATTGCATCTGAAGCAGGATTGTTTCATGTCGCTGTTTCAGTCTGCTTTGACTGAGTCTGACAAAAACTGCAAAGATGAAAAGTTCAAACGAAACGGTCCAATCTTTTAAATCAAAATAAGAAAGAAAAAAATAACTCTGAAGTTCACAAATCTCCATGTCTGACTAGCGGGCAGGCAGAGCTCCAGAAACCCCCTCACCTCCACATCTCACCGACTGGCTGGGTGGCAAAAACAACAGAGATAACACACTCTGCTATTTAATAAGTCACGGTTGAGTCTGAGCAGAAAAAGTCTCAGAGGATGGTTTTCTAAGCTAAATGTGACCCAAAGAAGTCTCATCAGCAATTAGGACTTTTTTCACAAGCAATTTAAATTCTATAAAACAAAACAAAAAAGGTTTTGCGTAATCTTTCCCTGTTTCCTCTTCCTTCACCCAGACTTACAAGGATCCTGATCAAAATAAGGCTGTAACCAGGCCCCTTTAATCCTGTTTTCATTATGGGAATTCTGGTAAATTTCAGATAGGGGGAATGTAACTAGGGAAAGTCCTCTCAGCTGTAGTGCCTCCATAAAAAATGGTCCCATTCAGCACTTTGACAATGCTTCAGCATATCTTGATCGTTTTATCAGTGAGTGACATCACTAATCAGCGCCAAACGGCATCCACGGACATTAAAACATTGAAAGTTTTATTGTGCCAAAGTGTAGCATAGTTAAATCTATTCAGCAAACGGGGAGAGTGGCAGAGTTGTCTAAAAAGTTGCATTCTATGACCTGATGAAGCGACGGTTTGTACGGCGCTCTGTGGGAGACCACAAACAGTCAAACTTACAGCGTTTGTGCGAGGATTTCAATGTCCATGCTGCTTGCCCTTGTTCTTCCAAACCGCTTCACCGGCAACTCTTCCAATTTTATAAATGTTGGTTGTTTGGCGACGTCTGCCGATATATTTCCCATTGAGTTTCAACCAATCGGCATGATTTAAACACAAGTCCCACCCAGGGACTCTACCAGGCCATTTATGAGAACATAGCCCAGTTCAGGTACTCGGCTGATTCCTGAAAAGGCCCGGAAAGTGGTGGTTGCAGCCTGGCCCGGTGAAATGGAGACACATGCATACTGTGAAATTCTGGTAAGTTTACCCGGAAGTCCCAATAATGGAAATTGGCCTAATGTCAACTGTGATCAATAGATTTGCTATAAAGCCAAAACTGATTCAGTGATTTATTTATTTATTTATTTGTATTTTCCTTCAGTGTATTTTCTGTTTAAATTCAGCTCTACCTTTGTTGGGGTCCTCAGCTTTGTTGTGTGCTTTGCTCAGATGCTCTTCTGCAGCGTAAACATGACATTCCTCACGAGAGAAGTAAAGCCTTCCTGATGAACTTCATCTAAAGGAGCTCTCCGAGCTGAGTTGTGAAAAGGTCTTTGAGTCTTTTTGCACCAAGTGAGCAAACAGATGCAACCAAAAGCAGAGGCGGTCCCAGTGGGGCGTAAATAGGAAGACATTTCTTTAGCAGTGGCAAAACGTTAAAAACATTAAACAATGTGAGGTGCACCTCATTAAAGGTTGGTTATAAAGACTTTACCCCTTGTCCTTAAAGTCTATTTTCCCAACCCAATATTGCATTTTGAACGGTATATTAGTCAAACTGGTGGGAATATAGTGTCATTGGGTCTCGCCGTGTTCTCATATAACTCATTTGCTGTTGACACGGCATGTCTGTCTTAAATGAGTCACAGAGTCATATGACAGGCCAGCTAAAGGGGCTGCCCTCGGAGGGCGGACAGCTGTTGCTGCTTGTGCCGGGGCTCTTCGGGTCTTTATCCTTTAATCTTGTCCTCTACCTACACAACTCAGAGAAACATCATTCCTCTCTCATAAAAGCCTAAAGAAGTAGTTTTAAAACTGGCAGATTTCTGAAAATGTGTATCTAAATGCAAGTTCTGAACATATTTGCTAAATGTTTGTATTAGTTTCACCCAAGAATACACAGGTTTTTCAAATAATCTAAAAGAAGATTGACTGAATTGAACAAAAATTTCAGAAGTATTTTAGAATATGAACATTTACACAACTAAATATTGCATAAAAGGACAAAAAAGGATGTATTTGCTCAAAGGATCAATAAATTGCTACCACCCCCCACCCCCCCCCCCCACCCCCCCAAATATACAGAAACATGCATACCCCTCAGTGTGCATGAATTGCACATTCTTGGCTCAGAGCAGCCAAACAGGAAGAAAAGCCAGAACTGGGCTGCCTAGTGTAATGATCCTAATGTTCTCTTCTGTTTGTTGTTTGAAATGTCATTATGGAGTTGTTCTGTTTGGAGTCTGATTCCCTTCTTGTTGAAAATTGTGTAGGTGATGGACCTGCTGTCTGTGAGCGCAGCCTGTCATCTGTCGGCTGGCAGAGCTGTCTGTCAGTTTGTTACCTTGGCAATGTGATTGTGTGTGGAGGAGCTGGAGAGTGGAGAATGAGTCTGAGAAGGTTTGGGGTTGATTTCCGAAGTTTTGACCTGTTATTCTTGGGGATTTCCTAGATTGCTGGTGTCACCGAGCTGCTGTGATTTTCAAGTTAAGCTTGCTTGAATGGCAAGAAACTCAAAATCCATTGTACTTTTTTCTCATGTGGCTTGGTTTTAACTACATGCATGTTTAAATGTACCTATTAGAAAAACAGAAACAGTTTTCTGAAGGGTTCACAAACTTCCATGCACCATTCTGTTTAAAAGTCATGCATCTTGTTCTGATTCACTCGTTCATTCAAGCCACACACCTTCTGCCAGAAGTTGATGTAGAAAACCTCTTTGGTGAAGTTGAAGTAGATGTTGGTGTCGTAGGCGTCGTCTCCGGCATTGGAGATGGTCACGTTCAGCGAGATGTTCCTCACTCCTCCGAGGGCCAAATGGGGTTTGCTATGGAGACTGTTAGAAACAAAGTAAACCTCGTGATCAAAGAGAAATACAAAGACTGGCAGACTACAATGAGATGAATCAACAAGTACATTTTCCATTTCTAAAGGTAGTTTACTGAGATGGTTAAGGCCCATAAGAGAAAACATGTTTATTAATCAAACTGCAAAACTCCAAATAAAAGATAAACAAAAAATAGGTAACTCCCTAACTACGGAAACACATGAGGGTAATCGCAGAAGTGCGTCATGGTTTCACCACCCACACCCTCCTGACCTATTACGTCACTTTGTTCCCTTTGAGCTGGAAGAAAAGGCTGAGACATGGAATGGATCTGAACTACCAGGTTGGAGGTTTTTACCCAGAAAGCAGCAGTTTCCCATGAAGCCTCAGGTCTGCAGCACAGTCGTCTGACAGGCAGTTCTTCTCAAACCAGGTCTGGAGAGGAAACAGTGAAGCACTCAGTTAGGATGACCTCATGCTGTTTGTGCTGACTCCATGCTCAGACCAGGGGGCAGTGCTGTGTGACAGCTGAAACGCTCCCGTAGATTTTTATCCAGGAAAGTCAAAAACTCTTGATTCCTTGTTAAATTATTCAGAGGCTGGATCACAAAAAGAAAATCAAGTCAAGCGGTTGAGCTCGACTACTTTCTGTGAAATTCATTTTGTAGATAATGAAAGAAGCACGTCCCTTTAGTTTCTTCTTTTTTCTTTTAAACAAAAATTGCAGACACTAAGGAAACACACATGAGGTTGTTGGAAAGAAAATAAAGCAATCAGTCCTTTTGGATTCCTCTCACGAAAACTTAACAGGCAATAATAATAATCAGCTGGTAACCGAGACAGAATCATTATAACCCCATTCACTTATTTCCTTTATTTCTTTTGTAGCACACAGGAAAATCATTGGCTTGCACCAGGTGTGAGGAGGAACTCACGTTCAGTACAGAATGAAGTAAAAACAACTTATCAGCCTGCTTGGAGAATATAAACATTAAATCAATTTAATAACAAATGCAAGGTTAGAAAGACAAAAAGAATACTAAATAAAATTGGCTCACAATTTAAAGTGAACTGCAGAAAAGAATTTCCCTGATTTTATTTTTATTTCACTTTTATTTGACCAGATGGTCAATTGAGAACTTATTCTCATTTATAATGACGATCTGGCCAAGAGGCAGCAACAACAGTCACATAGTTAGCTTTACACCAAAGAAAAACAGATGAGATTAGAACAAAAGATACAAATAAGATAAAACAGACATAAAGACAAATGACTGTTCTCATAAATAATATGTACAAGCAATCAAAGCAGACTTAAAACAGTCTTTAAGTACTTAGAAGCAGGCACATTGATCAGGTACTATTGGCTGCAATGAATAATTGAAGGTAGATAATGGAATGTAGGTAGCAAGCTTCTGTGACTTTTGCAGCTCATTCCAGTCGTTGGAAGCAGCAAACTGGAATGAGGAGCGGCCAAAGGGGGTGCGAGCTTTGGGAATAACCATAGTGATTCCGTTCCTGGAACATAAATTGCGCTGGTTGCTGGAAATTATTTACTGATTTACCGGTCGATCTACGCTCCTACCCTCACCAATGGTCACGAGCTTTGGATGGTGACAGAAAGAACGAGATCACCGATACAAGCGGCCAAATTGAGTTTTCTCCACAGGGTGGCTGGGTGAAAAGCTCGGTCATCAGGGAGGGTCTCGGAGTAGACCTGCTGCTCCTCCACATCGAGAGGAGCCAGTTGAGGTGGCTCGGGCATCTGGTCAGGATGCCTCCTGGATGCCTCCCTGGTGAGGTTTTCCGGGCATGTCCAACTAGGAGGAGACCCAAGGGAAAACCCAGGGCACGCTGGATAGACTATGTCTCTTGGTGGCCAGGGAACACCTTGGGATTACCCCAGAGGAGCTGGCTCAAGTAACTGGGAGGCATCCTGGCTTAGAATGCTGCCCCCACGACCCGACTCCGGATAAGCGGCTGAAAATGGATGGATGGATGGATGGATGAATAGATGTTGGAAGTGATGAGTAATGAGGGAAGATATGACGGTCTTCTACCGATGATTGTTTTGTATATAATTTGATACCATTGTAACATCCTGTGGGAATGGAGTGATGGCCAGTTAATGAGTGAGTATAGATCACAATGATGAGTAGTGAAAGGGGCACCAGTGACGAAAAAGATTGCTGAGTGATAAATGACATCAAATTTATGAAGAAGTTTTTTGGAAGCAGTCCTATAAATGATGTCACCATAATCTAAGATGGAAGGACAGTCCTTTTGACCAAGGTTTGCTTTGCAGAGTGAGTAAAGAATGACCTGTTGTAGAAACCAAGATAATGACTGTAACCTGTTTGAGGACTCATACTTAAATAAAAACCAGTTTTAAAAAAAATGATAGTTTTAGAAATGGGTGACTTGACAAACATATGAAGAGTTAAAAAATATAACTCTGTTTTTATTAACTGTCTAAAATGCATCTTTTTATGTTACGTCATGTAAAAACAAACATTCAAAGAGGGCTTTTAAGTGTTTTTGCAAATGAGCTCTTCATATTGACCATCTGAGATTGGTGGAGTACATCAACAGATTTTAAAGGAGTAGTTCACTTGTTTAATCAATAGATTGGCAGTGGTCTCGTGTGTCCAACATCAGTCCAGCGGTCCTTTCATTTAACTAAAATCTGAGCTAAACCCAAATTACCCCAGATTAAGTGATGGTCTGTCTTCTGTTGTGTAGGTGTCTCGTGTGTCATAGTTCTAAGCTTATTAGTGTTCTACCTCTTTAACAGGATTAGTACTTTCCTCAAAAACCTGCTTTATTGAAACCCACCCAAGCATGTAAACACATTGTTTTTACCTTAACTTTAAACCAGTAAAGTTTAGAGGTCTGTTACATTGTTTTTAGTTTTTCCTTGTTTGTTTGGCATCTTTTTTGTACAACTGTGTCCTCTTTAATCTTTTAAATTAGGTTTTCTTGCCCTTTCTTATATTTTATGGGGTTTCTTCCTTAATCTTTAATAGTTTTATTGTTAAATGGGTTTTATTTTGTCTAAAACTATAATTTATTTGAATGGAAATGCACAAAAAAAGAATGCTTACAAAATGTAATAATGTTGTTTTACTACAAAAAAGAGCTTTAATGTTACATTTAATTATAATTTTGATGTATGATTTTCAGCCAGTATGAATTTTCTATTAATGTTGAGGTATCAGGCTCTGATGGGTTAAACTGGTATATGACAGTGTGAACTCTATGCATCCTCGCTGAAACACCGTACCTCGTTTCTCGCTGCGATCTTGTTCCCTCTCTTCCATCGTAGCACCGGAGTGAGCGCTGGCATGTCTCGCTCCTGGTGTCCACTCACCACATGCTTCCCCAGGCTGTAAGCCACCTCAAACGTGATGGCAGTGAACACATCCTTCACGTCCTTCTGCAGAGAGCACAAACACCTGGGAGATTGGAGACAGTTGGTCCCACAATACACACACACACACGCACATGCAACGGTTAAAACTAAATGCAACCTCAAAGAAATAACCATCATGTCAGTGTCTGGGCAATTATAGCAATTTAACATCTTTCTCCAATTAACATGTGGTGCTAAGACTGAATGTGCTGCAGATCATGAGAAGATCACACAGTCTGGATATGGCAGTCCCCGAGCCAAAGGGCCTTGAGGTTGAACGCAGATCCAAGTACTCTGATAATTTCTTGTGAAATAGTTTAAATGACAGGGCTACTCATTTCTCGCATCAATGGCCATTTCATATATTTATTTTTTATTTCTCAAACGTTTCTAGAACGTAACGTTTTGGAAAACTAGACCCTGCTCCCAACCTGCTGGTACTGCCTCTGGGAGATACCGTGGAGCTTTTGGCTGCTCCATCCAAGATCACAAAAGAATAGTTTAATTTGGCGCTGAGCTTGGAAACAGCGCAGACAGAGTAAAAACAGAGAGATTAATGTGATCAGAACCCATCTTCATTAGACGACGGCACTGGAGGAGGCACGTGGGAAAAGCTGATGTCGGAGTGCTGGTGGGGGTTCAGCGATGCTCCACTCTTTGTTAGGAGCTTGATGAGTCATGCTCTGGTCTTAAAGTAAAAACAAAAACACAAGATCTAAGTGCAACAAGTACCCCTGTCCAAACTGATGTCCACCAAAAAACAGCCAAGCCCACTAAGTCTACAGAAAGCACTTCCTCATCCTTCCACTCGGTCTTCATCACTTTCGCTGCTTTGTGCTTCATCAGAGCGCTTCCCTTTGTCAGACCACCCATCCTCTTTCCTCGCTCAGGTGCAAGGGCCAGTCTGGGCTTTGGGCACACGATGCATCACCGGTTTCACACACACCCAAACACATCAGCAGCAGGAAAGAGCTGGTGTTAGTGCAGGACATGAATAGACAAAAACAGCAGAGTTAGGGAAACGGTGCTGCACACAGATAAAGCCTTGGCCTTGATGATAACATCTAATATTTCGGTGACTGTTTTGTTGCTACCACACCTCAAAAGAGTGAAAGTGCAATCAAGCACAAAGAGAAGCTGACATGCGAGGATGATTTAAACAGAATCGCTGAGCTGCTGTTAGAGGGAAACTTTCACACACTTCAGAAAAAAGAGTTCCTAATAACACAGATTTACTATCAGAGAGTTTGTTTTAATCAGTAAATTGTTTTCTTTGCTAACATTTCCAAGAGTTTAAGCTGGAGTCTTTAGATCAATGAAGTTTTTAACATTTGATTGGTGAGAAAACAAGTTGTAAGAGCAACTAATGGCTGTAAATTTAAATAAAAGTAGTTTTCTTAGAGATGCTCAATATTATTGGCCGTTATTGGCATATTGCAAATGACTGGTCTTGGTTATTACTCTTTCAGTGGCACAACTTTTACATCCCATTCACATACTGTATTATAGTACATTAAACTCTTCAGCTACTTGTCCTCCAACTCAAAATCAAAATATGATGGATTTGAGGTTTAGTTTATGGGATATTTTTGTTTATTTGCCACAACCGTTTTCATATTTTGTACGGATAATGTCTAACGTTTAAGCATTGTCACATTGTGAGTAGGAGGAGGTTAGGACCCAAGATGCAGAACACCAGACGACACGAGGCAGGAGCGATTTGTAAAAGTCAAATCCTTTTATTAGGATGGGGAACAACAATCCAAAAAAGCAGGAAGCCAAACCTGATATCTAAACTGAAAGACAAAAACCAAAAGCTCACTCATGAGCAGAGACCTAGAGACTTAGTGGGGGTGGCAAAACAACGCTGACAAACATCAATGGACCGACAAAACAATGAGACGCAGACAGGGTTATATACACAGGGACTGGGTGATTGGGAGACGAGGAGCAGGTGCGTGGGGAGAGAGAACTAAGGGGAGACTGGTGAGATCAATTAACTAAATGGGAAGGGAAAACCAAGCAGAGGGGATAAACCCTAACCTATGAATCTCTAAATAAATAATAAACCTAAAAGACTAAGGGCACAGGAGAGCCAAAGAGTAAATAACTAATGACTTGAGGAGTGAGGGAGACTAATTAACACGTGGGGAAGGAAACACACACTAAAGGAGACTAATAAAATGAAAAAGCTGAACCTATAGAAAAACTACAGTGGGGTCACTAGGGGAGACCTGAGGGAGACTGGGAGGGAGCTAGGGACAAAAAGGGGCACAGGAAGCTTGGGTAGACATGAGGGGGATTCTAGCGGGACACCTGGAGGGGTTGGGGAACACAAGGAAACACATAAGGGGAACCCAGAGGGGGGCTGGAGAACACATGAGGGGGACGCAGGACACAGACCATGACAAGCATGAATGATAGGAAATATAAAATGTTTGTTAACTAAAGCTATTTAGTTAACCCTGCATACTTTATTGATATCATTATTATTCCAGTTAAGTTGAGTGCTAGCTTTATTGTGGTTTAGGGTCAGGGTTAGTTAAATTCCTGCCACTTCTAAAAGTGACCCAAATAATAAAACATCAACATAATTGCTAAATAAATGTTGTCTTTTTTATTGAGGGATCGAATGATGACAATATTGAAAAGAACCCATTCAGATAAAGGACGTTCACACAACATCTGCCACAGCTTCGCACCTCATTGGACATACAGAGTTGGTGTTGTTCCAACTGGAGGAAACAGGACACGGTTATTCAGTGGCGGCGCAGTCTGTTAAACGCCGGCAGAGCCTTCAGCTTCACTGGCAATTAAAACAAAATGCTTGAAATGGCCCTTGTCCTCTGAATGAACTGACCTCCTGGGAGAAGACGGCTTCTTCCAACTCCCCCCGCTTATCTCACATTTTCAAACGTCTCAGCGGACACCACAGCAAACGACAAGGCTTGAAACGGAAGATTAAATCCCTCGTTTCTACGCAATCTAATGCTTTACTTGTTACACAAGCAAACATGCCTGATCTGTCTGCTGCTGTGGATGCATTTTCTCTTTCATTTCTAACAGACCATCTAGACTGTTCTCCCATTAACAGAATTAAGGACTGCTAATCAACCAGAGAGCTCCAGAGATGCACCACATGGGGCTGTTTGGCAACATTTAGAGAGCTTTAAATATCCATCGATCGATGCTGCCAATTTCCCCTCCCATATTCACACCCTTAGTTGGGTCATTTACTCCCTCAGAATCCTGCTCACTTCCTTTATTTATGGAACAGAGGAGTTCCTGCAGCTGTGAGAGGACACTGGCTGGTTCTAATTTTATAAGAAGAAACCCCAACAACTGCCCCTCACATGTCGGCTAAGCTCACACAAGAGGGACTAAGCTATAGTTAACAGACGTGCTCTGTTTTAATCCTCATTCAAACACACAGGGTGTGTCACAGATCTCAGATCAGAAACAGAAACAGAACGGATGACATTTCAGTGCCAATCTCCTACGTTAAGATGCAGTTATATGTGTTTTACCAATCAGTTATGGTAAATGTATTGTTCTATTGGAACATCTGGGTAATTTAACCAGACCCTCGTGGAAAGCTCATGTCTCTAAATAACAGGTTCCACCTAAAAGCTAAACCTTCCAGTTCATTTCAGGGACCAACCCAGTACCTGAACTGGGGTATGTACTCAGAAATGGTCAGGTAAAGCCATTGGGCAGACTTGTGATACATTCACACCGATTGGTTGAAATGGGAAAATGATATGGACAGACTTCCCCAAACAACCGGTATTTGTGGAATTGGATAGACAAATGGAAAGAAATAAAACAAGCAGCATTGACAAAATTTCAAAACTCCCAATGCCTAAACATATGGTGGAAATCCTTCCACAATGTCATAATTTACTCTGCTTTGTGGTCTCAGAGAGCACCATGACAGCTGTTTCTTTTGGTCATTGAAAGCCACTTTTCACATTACACTGCCTCTCTCTGTCTCCTGAATGACAGAGCTAAATTTTATACATGTTAGCAACATCCGTGGATACTTTTAGAGCTAATCAGTGAGGCCGGTTTTAGCATATACCTGAAAATGACTATTTTATTTGGAGACACAAAAGCTGGGAAGACTGAGCCATCATATTTAGTTTTCTGGAGCTCCTACAGAGGAAACACAGTTCTTGATAATGACCTTTTATTCCCTTGTCTGGAGCAGAAGCTGGGTGGGGGCCAGGAATGTAGCACCAGAGTGATTCAGGTTCTACTTAGAAGATTAATGAGTTTATGTCTGGTCCTTTCTTGTATGAGGTCCCTCAGGGCTCAGTTTTAGGCCCTCTCCTTTTCATGTTTTATTTGTTCCCACTTAGGTCCATATTTAATGCGTTTTCATACTTGCAGTGTTCAGTCCATTTAACGTAGGTCCAAACCGAGATACCAAGACCTGATGGAGTTGGTGGAGGTGGCCATGAAAATGATAACTCAATCTGATGAAACAACCACATGTATACTACAAGTTTGAGCTAAACGCCCTCCAGTAGCCAGGCTTGTGTTGCATTCTGGGACATGGGAAAGAACATAAATGTGTATTTAGCAAGCAGCCTCCAGGTAGTCAAAAATGAACCAACATAATCTCACTGATATATGAGTAGATGACCAGATTATTCACATCAGTCTCCTAACATACACTTAAGAGTTCAAATGGTTCATAAACGGCCCAGGTAGAGAGGGCTAGACCAAGTTATCAACTAGCTTAGAGGTTTCCCTGTGTGATAAATAAATGAGCCACAGGTAAAAGCTACAAATTCTGATTTATTCCAGAGGAGTTGAACTACAGGTGTGAAAACACCTTTAGAAATACTCATTTGCGTTCCACTGTTTTGAGGATTGACTGCAACATTTAAATTTAACAAGAAAAATGGCTGAAGTGGTGATTTTTGGAAGCTCCGCTGAAGCCCTCAATGTGGAGACAGATTCCTTGGCCCAGTAAACATTAAGAACCTTTTCTGGATTCATGAAGAAGAAGCAGAACA